CCCGGTCCGTCACCGCCTGTGACCCCGGTGAGCACTGGGCTGGCCCTGCCTGCTGTTACCCTTTGGTGCCTCCTGCCACTCGTGCTTGATAGCCATAAAGGAGGTCCCTGCAGCAGGGACCCCATGGCAAGCTCTTCTTGCACTGCTGGCCCTTGGAGGAGCAGTGACAGGGTGTGGGCAGCCTCGGAGCAGCGAGTCCATGAAGCGATGGCAAGTGGAGCTGAATTACGGTGCCAGGGAGAGGAGGCAGAGGAGGGGACTGAGCCTCCTGTGTGGTGGGGGACAGGTGTCTGCCCCCTTGCTCCTCCCCTGCCTTCGCTCCCCCAGTGGGACCTGCTGCCAATGGAAGCATCACCTTCTAGAAGACAGATTGTACTGCAGCCAGACAAAGCCCCACCACTAGTGACCTGCAGGAGCACAAGCCGGCCTGACGGGACTGCCGCAGCATGGGTCCAGGATGGGTGAGGACCTGTTGATGCCTCCCAAGGCACTGTGTGAAAAGAGCGATTGAGAGAAGAGGGGAACAAGGAGGAGACTCCAACCCAGTCCTGAGGGTTTGCCAAAACACCCTGCAGTAGCATGTGAAACAAGTTAAGCCTCCCCTGACAGATGTGGTCCCAACAGCTGTAGCCACTGCTTGATGAGCTGGCCATGAGTGCATTTAAGATGCTCTCCCAGACAGCACCCAGCCCCAACCAGGCTGCCAGGGCAATGCCCACCCCACATGCAGTGGGGAAGAGCAGGAGGTCAGCAGAGCCTTCCTGAGCGTGTTTCCTCCCACCAAGATGTGTCAGCCAAGGAAGGGAAGGGCAGGGGAAGGGGTACGGCATAGACACCCCCCAGCTTTTTGCTCAGAGCTGCCCCCAGCATCTAGAGGACAGGGATGGCCCCTAGGAAAGGCTGCTGCCTTCAGCCCTCAGCCCCTACTGATCGAGGGCAAAAAGGCATCAGTGTTCACAGCCCAGCTCTGGGTCTGACTTCTTGGCAGCTCTCTGCAGGGAAGGAGCCTGAGACAGACCTCCGGCCATCGCACAAGTGTTGTGACATGCTGGGAGCTGGTAGCTGTTGAACCATCACCTGTAGGTTTTACCCTCTTTGATCTCCGGATGATACAAATCTCCTCTGTGCCCCTGATGTTCACACTCTGTCCCTTCTGTTTGCCTTTCCCCTCTCCTTTAGCTCCTTTATTGTACTGCAACAGTTGGTAGATCCCCAAAAAGATTTAACTCCTGGGCAGGTCCAGTATACTGCAGCTGATAAACGCCTCACAGCTGGTAAGTTTGGAGTACTGTATTTTTTTCTCAGGAAAAACCCCCTTAGGGCCTCTTTGTGTAATCTTGAGCAAAGACAAGCCACCAGATGGGCACAGAATGATTAACTTTGTCCATGCAAACAGGGGAGCTGAGATCCTCACGCAGAGGAGGTGTGTACAGGGAGAGACCCAGGTATAAAGGGACAGAGGCCAGCATGGAGTTGAGAGCAGCTGGACTGACTGCTCAGGCTCCCAGCACCCGCTCAGCAGCATCGATGGGTGAGTTGTCCTCTTCCTCATGGCTCCTTTTCTGCAATGCTCACAGCTCTGGGGGATGCAAGTAGAAAACCAAGCTAAGTGACAGCAGTGGGGGACCACGGGAGTGGGAGCTGATGGAAGTGTCCAGTGACTGTCCCACTCCTTCCCTTTCCACCCAGCTGTTTCTTTCTAGTTCTCTGCTGCTGTTGCCACTGGGTTGTTCCCTGCAGCACCCAGAGCACCAGGTTTTATACACCAAAGTCAGCTGCAGCGCTGTGAACTATTTGCTCTGAATGCCCTTAACACAGATTTACTTCTTTCCCATAAAAATATCCTTTTGTGTCTAGACCTGTAGGAAAACAAACAAACCACATTCAGGAGAAACATGAGAAAATGTGACTGCAGGTTGCTGTCTGGTGCAGGGAAGGGGCTGATCAGGAAGGTGACAAAGCCATTTCTCACCATGCTTCAGTCCTGAAGGGGCAGAGCCTGTGCCGGAGCTGCAGCTTCCACCAGCCCAGGAGCCCCCGGCTCCCACCTGTGCCCCGTGGCTCTGCCTTCCCTGGTCCGAGCTCCCTGGGGGCTGGGGGGCTGCCCAGGGGTCCCAACAGTGATGGGCACTTTCCTCCCCAGGGCTCCAGGCTCGGACACGTTGGCTCCATGGGGACCTTGTCCTCCTGTCTGTGGCGATGGCAATGCTTCTGCTCTGCGTGACCCCAGCACATGCTGCCAGCTTCCAGGGTGGTGAGTACAGGTGCTGGGGGACAGTCGACGAGCGGCCAGGCTCGGGTGCAGCTGTGCCGCCCATCGCTGGCATGGCCAGGCTCTGAGGTGCTGGTGCAAGTGTCCCCGTGCCAGCAGCCACAGAGACAGCAGGTCTCCACATTCAGACCTAGGCTGCAAAGCAGGGTAATCCTTGCCTCTCATCACCAGCAGATAAGAGGCGTTTCCAACGTGTTTCACTGGTTGCAGAGCATCCAGTCAGATCCAGCGTCAGCAGCACTGGCACAGCTGCCCCACAGTAACCTGCCAGCACATTCTCCAGTACAGGTCCCTCATGTCTTGCTTGATCTGATGATGCAGGGTTCCCCGCAGACTGCAGCCACCTCACCAGCAGCAGCCCCAGTGGGGTGTACGTCATCCAGCCGGCAGGGTCACCCCCACGCGTGGTGTGGTGTGACATGGACACCGAAGGCAAGGGCTGGACCGTTGTCCAGAGAAACACTTACACCACCGAAATCACGTGGAAGGAGTCCTGGACCACCTACAAGTACGGCTTCGGGAACGTGCAGGGCGATCACTGGCTGGGCACCGAGTACCTGCCCCTGCTGACACAGCAGGGCACCTACAAGGTCCGCTTCATCGTGCAGAATAAGGCCAACGTCACCCATTATGCCGAGTATGACATCTTCAGCGTGGAGAGCGAGGCCAGCGGGTACCCACTGAGGCTGGGCCGGTTCCTGGGCAGCGGGGATGACTATCTGACCAGCTATCACTCCAGGTACGGGGGCATACATGACAACATGAAGTTCAGCACGACCGACAGGGACCAGGACCAGTACAGCGGGAACTGTGCCAACAGCTACGGGGGCTGGTGGTACGACAAGTGCCAGAACGTCCTGCTCAATGGCAAGAGGTACATCTTCTGGCCAGGAACTTGCTCAAGCGGCGACTGCACATCCTCCCTCATCCTGGTCAAACCCACAGATGTGTGCTGACTGTGCCGCAGCCCCCAGCCTCCCGGGAGTTTGTGGGAGTGCCACCGTCCCCAGCTCAGTGCCCCGTTCCCACACCTGCCAACAGCCATGGGCCAGCCCCAGCACACGTACTGCG